ACATTCATTACAGTGAATTATCAATTTACGTATTGATCAGATGCAGTTTATTGTTCAGAGAACGTCTCCTTCAGTTTCAGCCCGTTTGAACCAAACTCCATTCTCCTGTTCACCGAAAGCATCGCAGAGCGTTTGATTCACCCAAATGACCTGGACTTAACCACAGCCGACCTTTAATTACTCAACCCAACACCAGAGAGCAGAGCCAGAGCTAAGAATCAGCAGCTTTGTCTGGAGTTTCTTAATCAGATCAGCAGCTCGTCCTGTCAGCAGTTAGATCAGAGCTTTTATTAGGTCCACCGAGGACGTAATGATTCAGCCTCTTCGTGAAAAACGAGACCAAAAAAGAACAGACGGAGGCAAAAACAAACACGACAAGGTGACAAAACGAACAGAAAGTGATGCAAAATGATGAAAAAGAGACAAAAAGCAAACACATAGGGATGCAAAATGTGCAGGATCACCAAGAAGAGACAGAAAATGAACACAAAGTGGTGCAAAATGGTATAAAAGTAACACAAAGAGATCCAAAATGATCACCAAGGTACAAATAAATCCATGAAGAGGCAAAAAAAACAACATATAGAGATAAAAATCAATGATAGAGACAAAAAAAAAATCACACCACAAACAGACAAAAAAGGTTCACAAGGACACAAAAAGCCCACATAAAAAAAAAAACTGAAAGTGAAAAAACAATAAAGCGTCACAAAAAATGAACAAAAAATGACCAGAAAGAGACTAAAAGTTTTCAAAGGCACAAAAAGAACACAAGGACACAAAAAACAGACACCAAAAAGATATAAAAGTGAACTAAAGAGACCAAAAAACAAACACAAAGAGACAAAAAATGAACACAGATATACACAATGACGTAAAATCAAAACAAACAGAAAGACAAAAAAACCCAATAACGAGACTAAAAACCAACAACTAGTTGTAAAAAGATACAGAACTGCTACAAAGAGACACAAATATTCACAAAGATACAAAACGACCACAAGGATACAAAAAACACACAAAAGATACAAAACCAAAGAGAAAGACACAAAAAACTCACAGAAAGCGACAAAGAACGACAACAAAGTGTAAAAATGAACACCAAAAGACAGAAAAGACAAAAAGGATCAAAAACCAAACACAAAGGGACAAAAAACAAACACAAAGACGTACAAAATGATGCAAAATTACCACAAAGTGACAAGAAATGAGCAAAAAGACATAAAAACAAACACAAAGAGACAAAAAAAAATGATGCAAAGAGACAAAAGTCAGGACAAAATGAACACAACAAGACAAAAAGACAACCAGGAGGCAAAAAACAAACGAGACAAAAAGACACAGATAATACAGAGACAGAAAAAAAAACAACACAGAGATGCACAACGACACAAACTACCGCAAAGAGACAACAAATGGACACAAAGACACAAAAACCATGACAGAGACAAAAAAAACCCAAACACAAAGACACACAAAATGACTTAAAATAATCACAGAGACTTAAAACAAAGACAAAATTTCCCCAAAATGACCACAGAGAGACACAATGACGACAAAGAGACACGATTAGATTCCTCAGTTCTTCTGCTTCCACGTGGAGCCGTGATGCAGACAGACGTCGGTCCAAAACAGAAAGTTCTGCTGTTTAAGGCTCATTTTCAGAACCGTGTTCTTGCAGTCAGACTGTTCAGTTTTATTGAGTTTCTACGTTGGCGTCTGCATTTTCCTTTTTTTTTAAATTCTCTAATTATTATCTAGTTCTTTAATTTCCAGGTGATGAATTCTGAATAACTTGATGTCTGAGTGACGCTGCACAGGAGCGTGATCAAATCAAGTCCCTTTGACAATAAAAACTGGGTCGTAGTTTCATTCTGTGCACAAACCAAACGTCAAAGTTAATCAGAGTATTTACATGTTTTTAGTTTTGGCTGCTTTTACAGAATTTAGTTAGTTTCAACTTTTCCATCTGTGATAAAGGCAGCCACATGGTTCAGGAGGAAACACTGAGTCAGAAATCTCCACTTCAGTCTCGTTTCTTTTCCATATTCTGAACGTTAAAACACAGACATCCTGTTCTGAACTCTATTTGCTGTTCATCTTTTTGAGGTCGTTTTCGTCCCAAAGTTGGGGAACAGGCCACCGGTCGGTTTCCTAGCGTGTCTCTGGCGGTGGCATCATGAGTTTAACTGGTTTAAATGGTTTAACTGGATCACTACCAACAGCTCTAAGCCCATTAGTGACCGTTATCGGTGGTGACAGCGGCTGCAGCGAACGCCACGAGATCACAGAAACTCAGACGATCAAACGTCAAAGGAAGGAAGTTTTAAAGCCCGACTTTGACCCCAACTGTGGCCTGTCAGTGTCGTCTACAGGGTTAGTCAGTAAATGTCCCGCTTCGATGCATCCCGTTTTATTCTGCAGGTTCAACAAGCGACAGTTCAGACTTTTTAAGACCTTTTCTACTTATTTTAATTCCTGCCTCACGATCAAACCGTCTAACGAAGTCAATGGAATCCAGCAGAGATGATGACGTGTGTTCATAGTGCTAACATCAGTCACAGTCGGTGGTTTTGGCTTCAAATGGGAGACTTGGTTGTTTTTCTTGTCCCACGATATAGTAAACTGGATGTTTTGTTTTTAATGTGACATTTACCAACACTGTATTGACCAAATGAGCGCCACATTCAAACTTCATCTGTGATTGTGTCATAACTGCTTTTTATTTTATCGTCTTCTAGTTCAGATTAGTCTTCTAGTCGTGTGTGGCTCTGTGAACCGTGCAGCGCTTTGGTTCAGTTCTTGTAGTTTTTAAATGTGCTTCATGAATACGTTTGACTTTGCGATGACAAACTGGAGCCCCACTAACGATAACATCTGATCGGCAGCAGCAATCGATTACAAATTGAACTTCTTTAAGGTTCGTATGTGAAGAGTCGAGGATTTTCCAGCCACATTTTATTTCTTGCTGCAAATCTTCTGCAGGACAGAAAACATACGTAAGACTGTTGGGTGCAGATGTCTGAGGGGAACCTCTCGGTCTGGAGCAGGTCGACCCAATGAGCTGGTTATATAACCATCCTGCTTCAGGGCCGGCCCGGCTCCCTCACCTGAACTCGGCAGCTCCTCCTCTGGCCCGCTGGCTCCTGGCAGCCCTGCAGCAGGGCGGCCTGATCTCATTAGGGAGTTATTTTAGGTGCTTTCTTGATTCTTCCTCTGTGACCTAAGAGGGTTAGAGAGTCCTGAGGGTTGCTCTGTGCCTGCAGAGTCGCTGCAGCCTGGATGTGGGCCGGCTCGAACTGAAGTCTGCTGGCCTCGCTTTGGATTTCCAGCCTTTTCGACTCTTTGGTCCGGTCCTGTAGAGGGTTCAAGAGCAGGACGGTCGACCCTCGCCTCGCTCCGGTCTTCCTCCTCCGTCTCTCCTCGAGGTTCTGGCCTCCTCCTCCTCGCTGCAGCCATGGGGAATCACGGCTCCAACCTGGACGAAATCCTGGCCGAGGACATGCACCACTGGTATAACATGTTCATGAGAGAGTCTCCGTCGGGCCTCATCACGCTGTTCGAGCTGAAGGCCATCCTGAACCTGAAGGGCATGAACGAGAACGCCAACAGCTACGTGGACCAGGTGTTCTTCACCTTCGACATGGACGGGGTGCGTTCAGAACACACACACACACACACACACTAGGTCGGAAACACTGGATCAGAACCGGGCTGAGGCTCCAAGTCAGAAAAAAACTCAAAAATTATGTTGATCTGGTCGTTTTTTATCTCACAGTGTGTCGACTCTGTAAGTATGAAAACCTTCTCATCTTCATGGAGTAAAAAGACAAATACAAAAATATTCTCAGCTTTATGTTGTAAAAGTACAAAAATATTCTCAGCTTCATGCGGTAAAAGTATTCTGAATGTATATATATGTATGCTCTCAGCTTCATGTAGTAAAAGTTGAAGTAAAGGTACAAAAATGTTCTCGTCCTCATGCAGGAAAAGTAGCAAAAAAAATTAATAAAAAATTTGCAGCTTTAATCCAGTAAAAGTACAAAAATATTCTTATCTTTGTGTAGAAAAAGAAAAATATTCTCATTTCTATGCAGTAAAAGTACAAATAGATAAACGTTAATGGCTTCAAGTGGTAAAAGAGCAAAAATATTCTCATCTTCATGCATTAAAAGTACAAACAGAAAAACATTTTTGGCTTCATTAAACGTACAAACAAATTCTCATGTTCATGTAGTAAAAGTACAAAAGTTCTGTCAGCCTCATGCCGCAAAAATAAAAATAATCTCAACTTCATTTAGTAAAAATACAAAAAGTTTCTCATCATGCAGTAACCGTACAAAAGTATTCTGTTTTTTGTCGTAGAAATACATAAATATTCTCATCTTTATGCAGTAAGAGAACAAAAGTATGCTGCTCTGCTTCATGTAGCTAAAGTTGCAGTAAAAGTACAAAAATATTCTCATCATTATGCAGCAAAAGCAGAAAAACAATCTCAGTTTCTTGTAGTAGAAATACATAAATATTCTCTTCTTAATGCAGTAAAAGTACAAAAAATTTCTCATCTTCATGCAGTAAAATTAAACAAAAGTGTGAATTTCTACTAATTCTGATAATCTGATAATATTTCTGATAAAACAAAGATTCTTTTCTCATTTTAACTTTAAACCTTTTCACATTGTTCCTGCACATTCTTCTACATTACCAGACAAACGTTATAAAAACACATTTTTTTCACTTCATCTCATCAACACGATGAAATATTATCGCTGCGTGGACGCTTTGGGCTGGAAGCTGACAGACTGTCCAGCTCTCGCCCTTCATTTGTTGTCACTGCTGTAAGTTTGCGTGGCTCCGTCTCTGTAAGGAAGCGAACTTCATTTATTTATAAGGCTCTCGATTGATTGGATTAAGCTGCAGGTGGCAGCTGCTTTCACTCACTGTTGGAAATCCCGTTTTACTTACTGCAACCTGGAATAACTTTATCCTTCAGGGCGAATCAGGTTTTCACTCTCATCTGACTTCACTTCCTGGTGCTCCCGGTTTGGCTGATTTGTCTTCTTTATCCTCCTGCTTTCATCACTTTACTCATTTGCATTTATTATATATATATTTTTATCACCAGTTTTTCCTATTTGCGTCTTTTCTCGGCCGTGTTGTGATTGAGTTTCCAAAAATGTTGTTTTACTTCTTTTGTATTTTTGCACGAAATGAGTTGAAATGACTGCTGTGAGTTGGGTCATGCAGCATTTCGACGACCAAAACAACACATAAACCATCTTAAATTGAAAAAATATTTCAACTTTCGGTGAACAAAAGACTAAATTCAACCCCCGCTGCTCCGTTTCTGTATAACCTCCAGGTTTCCTCATTCATGTCTGCAGTCAGAGCAGCTGACGAGCCAAAGACGTTTTAATTTGGCGAGTCATTAAGGAAGTCTAAGAGCTATAAAAGTCGACGTAATCGGACCTGGAGCTCTCTCAGAGTTCCTGGCTCGAGGAACCTTAATGACGTAAACCCCGATGCTGGACAAACAGGTTTTTCTGTTCAGGATCAACAGGAGGAACTTTTTTTGGATGATCTGCAGCTTTATTTATTGCAGAGTCGTCCGTTTAGGTGTTTCACAGCTTTTTGTTTTCCTTTGCTCCTGTTGCATTTTCAGTCACTGTTGGCTCATTTTTCTCTGCGACGTAAAGTCCTGCAGCTCGATGGAAACAGAACAACCGCGACCAGAAGGAGAAAGAAGTCAAACATGTTTTCTGTGCAGCCTGATACGGTCATAATCCCATAAATCAATAAAAGCTGCACGTGATGATTATTTGGTTCGATATTTCGCCGGATGCATCGTCCAACTTACTGTTTTTGAGCCGTGCTGCTTTTATTTTATTGATCCAGTTTGTTTTGTTTTCCTCTTGTTGTTTAATCTCTGTAGTTAGAATGCCATAAATCATAAAACTTACATTTCTCTAAATATTCACTTCACAAAAACTAAAAAAAAACATCCACAGGGGAAGCCGATGCTCGTAAACTGTTGGTACTTCAGATATTTAACTATGTACAGTCTCTACAAACTGGAAGACGTTTCACGGTGCTGGATGGATCTTCCAGCTCCTCTTCTTTAACCCATGCTGCAGCCGCTTTACTGGCCGTTTGCATTAAGCTCTACTATTTAAATGAAGGGATTCTGATGATGATTTGGTTGATACGTCTGACAGAACTGGCGACATTTTGATGTTCAGACGGTTAAATGATTAGATTAAAGCTGATAAAGTGGCATCAGAGTTTCCAACAAGGATGAAAATCACTTTCATGGTGATTGTTGCTCCAGTTAATCCAACGTTTGTGCCACGTGTTGGTAGAAGATCAGTGAAAATTCAGATTTTAGTCCGATTTACCTCAAACAAATTCAAAGAAGGTAAAAGTCTTGATGGACACCTTTACAGGAAACAATGTGCTCATGTTTTGCTCTTTAAATGCAAAAGTTTTGCCTTACTTCCTGTGTGTATGGACTGTGCATCTGTGCATACGTGTGTGTTTATTCATTATTAGATTTGGCTTGTTTTCTATCTCATCACACGTTTGAGATTCTTACAAACTGATGGACGCTAACGTCAGTCTCTGAGCTATCTTCTCTCATCTGATGCGTCTTTTCCTATTTTGTTCCTCGATACTCAAACATAAAGTACCGCTACTTGATAAGTTCCTTCAAAATTAAACTGTGCAGGTATTTATAGATCAGCGTCCGGTCGCATTGTCGGAAAACATCCTAGAACTTAGCTGAAAAATACAAGACCTGTAATATAAAGATAAAAAAACAATAACTGTGACGTCCTCTGTCCGGGTTTATGCAGCAAGATGTGAATTAAAGTCCGACTATGAGGATAAAAGTCAAACGTTCTGGTATGTTTGGGGTTTCTGCAGGTTTGTCAAATTGAAGACTTTATAAACATCTACTGAGGGAAAAACGTCAACGAAAACCAGCAGAGAGGAATTTTTTATCATTGTTTCAATAGAAGATCTTTCTACAATTCAAGCGTTTTGTCGATCGTACAAATACAAATGTGTAAACTTGTTTTCTTGTCTCACATCGAATCAAGTTTTAAAAATACCGATAATGAGAGCAGCAACAAAAACAGAATAACATGAATACAGATATGAATACTGAAACTGAAAGAGGAGCAAGATAACAACTGATAAGACCGATGTGTAAAACACATGTGCATCTTTACTTTGTTTTAAATTGTCAGTTAATATTTGGGGATACTTGGATATTTACAACTTGGGCTTTAACATTTTAATGGGAAACTTAAAAAAAAAACAACGTTTTTAAAGGTTGCAAATTACTGTCATGAGAGTTGTTATGGACGACGAATGTAGTTAATAAAAAGATTCATCCTAAGTAAATTTAAACTAATTAAAACATCATTAATTGCGGCTGTGTTAATGAGCACCTGATAAAAACGCTAATAATTTGTTTTTCTTTTTTTGTTGCATCTTATTTTCTTTGAACAGAACCTCACTGTAAAAAAACAACAGTGAAACTCGCGCTGATATTGACTTTATGATCTGATTTTCTCTGTTTGAAGCTTGAACCACGACGACTTGTGATCTGAGTCTGAGTTTTATATGAAGTCAGAAAAACGTCCAACTGTGTTTGAAGCTAAAAATCACATTTGTGCTTTATTATTCTGAATTAATGCAACTAAACGCACAACTTTAATGCAGAAATCCTGATGTGACATCAACAGACATTTGAACCATCTGAAGCTCAAAACCCACCAAGGCGTGTGATCTTTATGGTACTTTATCCAAAACATTTCATCTGTTTTTAAAGAAATGGTAAAAATACACCATTTTCTCAAACCAGATCCTGCAAAAAATAAAAATAAAAAACTAGAAATGTGGTGCTCCACGGTGTAAATGAGAAACCAAAACTATCTCTGCAGTAAAAACGGTGACGTACGAAAACTCTGGGAACGTTTAGGTGGAGTTGGTTAAAGTGCAGAATAAAACTGTCTGTCGTGTTGATCGGTACACTTCAGAGATATTAAATACGACCTTGTTTATTGCTGTAGTTTGAAGTCTTATTTAACCCTCGGAACCCCAAAACCTTTGCATGAAAACAAAATCATCAAGATGACAATTTATCAGAGAATTAAACTGTAAAATGATTTTAAAAATTGTTGGATTTTCAATTTTTCGACGTGCCATCAGTACGTTTAACCAAATCGAAGCTTAAAAACTGTGATATTTCATGAAAACCACTTTATTCTACTTCTCTTTTTGAAAATAAAATTGCCCAAAATAAACCACTTGCATCAGATTCTGGGAACAAAATCAAAATAAACCTGCTTTTTCTCGACAAAACCGTGAAGCCACGTCTGACTTTTCAACTGAACTGCAGGCAGTGTGTCGGGAGGAGACGACAAAAACAGTAAAAAATCAAACAAACTAGATCTATAAGTAAACGCAGCACGGCTCAAAGACAGCGACCAGAGGAGCCAGCTGTTGGACGATACATCCAGCACGGTGAAACATTTCTACAGCTGATGAGCAGAGTAGCGAGAAAAAAGTCACTAGTGTAAATAGTAAACAAATTATATAACATGTGGAGCCACGATTTGTTTTGGGAGTTTGTTTTATTTGTAAAATTAATAAGTTAATTAGTAAATCTTCTTCTTTTTTCTATTTTCATTAAATGATTTAAACTGCATCATGCTGCACAGAAGACACTCCAGAGCTCTCTCTCCTTCCAGTCTTGGTTGTTCTGTTTCCATTGAGGACTTTATGTTCCAGTGAAAAATGAGTGAAAACGCTGCTGGAGCTGGAAGATACATCCAGCACGGTGAAACATCTCTACAGCTGACGTGTGGAGCAGAGTGAAAAAGTCTGAAATAGTAAAAATTCTTTTTATGATTGAGTTCTAGTCGTGGTTCTTCAGTTTCCATCGAGGTGCAGGACTTTATATTGGAGAGAAAAATGAGCCACAGTGAGCACAAATGTAAAAACAACAACCGAGTTCAGAGGGTTTCGAGGTGAAACCAGAAGTCTTGTTGTCATATTTAACAGCAGTTAGTGAAAATATCCAAGTTTAGGTTATATAAAATAAAAAACAAACGAGGCTGTTGCTGTGGAACCTTCAGCAGCAGGACTTCCCTCCGTCTAATTGGTTTACGGCGTCAGCATGAGGAGCTGTGATCCTGGCGGCCGGCCGGCTAAGTGGATTCAGACGGTGCAGCCATGAAGCTCAGCGAGGACGTTCTGGGAGCTCAGGACATCTACTGACGGTTAAAGACGCATGTGGTCGTCTCTTTAAACCAGCGGCGCCTCTTTTAAATAACAACATTTCTAAATGATAAATACTTCTTCCCTCTGTTTCTCCGTAAACTAACAATCAGTCGTGTTTCTGGTGTTTAGAAACTGGAACATTTTGTGGAAGAAGAAAATGGAAATGAACTGAAACTTCGATTAATTGTTAAAATCCAACTTGATATTGTCAAATTTTATTTCATCTTGTTTTTAGTAGTTTTTTTCCCTCTCATTTAATATCATAATAAAAACTTTTACTTTGAAAACCAGATTTTTCCCTATTTATATTTATTTTCTGTTGTTTTACTTCATGCTACTTTTTTAAGAATGTAATTAGTTTTTCATCCACAGGCCCACGTTTTCATTTTTATTTCAATCAGTCAGTGCTTTGTCTTTTGGTTTAATTGAGTCACTAATTAATTTTATAACTATTCATTTATTTATTTTTCTCAAAAGCTGATAAGAAAAAATGACTTGATTTTTTCCCCATAAAGCCACTTTTTAATATATTTTTCATTTCATAGGGTCACTTTTTTTTTTCAAAATGCTTCATTTCCATTTTGTTCTATGTCAGAAAGTCACTTATTTATTTATTTTAAACAAAAGAGGTCACTTTTTTATTGAAAGTTCTGCTTTTATGTCACTTTAGTTTTTGGTAAATGGACTGCACTTAAATAGTGCTTTTATCCAAAGTGCTTCACAGTGTTTCTCATTCACACACATTCATAAATCAGTGGTGACAGAGCTGCCATGCAAGCTGCTGCCTGCCACTGGGAGCAACTTTGGGTTCAGCGTCTTGCCCAACGACACTTCCACTGTGGAGGGAATCGAACTACCAACCATGCGATTAGAGGACAACCCGCTCTAGCACCTGAGACACAGCCGCCCGCCATTTTTCTCTTAACGTCACTTTTTCATTATTTTAATCGAGGTTTCACTTTTTTATTTTACGATATTTCTTGGTAACAGCACTTTAGATATTTTTTTAAATTTTTTTTTTTTCTTTTTTTTTTTTACCTCATGAAGTCTACTCTTTAGGTCACTTTTTATTTTCTATTATTTTTAATATTTGACTCTTTTTTTGGTCATTTTTTAATGTAATTTCATTTCATTACGTCACTTCTTTATTTCCCTCACTCTTAAGGTCACTTTTACATTTTTATTTATTTCTTGTTAATATTTTTATATTTCCAGTCGTCACTTTCTGATTTATTCTTTCATGTCACGTCATTTTATTTCACGCCAGTTTTTTATTTATTTTTTAATGCCATGATTTTATTTCAGGAAGTCGCTTATTAAACATTTCATGAACTGTTTTCATAACATCACTTTTAAAAATGTTTTTATTCAATTCAATTTCACGGTCCTGTTCAATCATATTTCATTTATTTAGTTATTTTCTGAATTTATTCTGTCACTTCAAAATCACATCAAAGGCTTGTTGGCGCATATTAAAAACAACTTATTTTATTAAAAACTTATAAATTTAAATTTAAAATAATGTGTTTAAAAATAGTTGAACACTGTTTGGCTTCACAAACTAGAACTTTGACCGAATAAATCTAAACGACACTGACTTTTTATTGTTGGTTTCAATGTTTCATGCATTATTTGTGGAATTTTGATGCTGAGCTTTAATTTAGGGAAACAAACGTTAGAAGTAAGGTGTGAATTTGAGATGATTTGGAGGGTTCGTGCACCCTGGTGACGTTTTAACGCCTGGTTTCTGTCTGCAGGACGGCTACATCGACTTTGTGGAGTACATCGCAGCCATCAGCCTGATGCTGAAAGGAGAAATCAACCAGAAACTAAAATGGTATTTCAAACTGTTCGACCAGGACGGCAACGGAAAGATTGACAAGGAGGAGCTGGAGACCATCTTCTCGGTAAATGACACACAACATCATCACAGGTGCAGACAAAATGTTGTCAGGGAGGATCGACGATCAACGAATTTAAGATTTCAGTCATTAGTTGATCAACCAACGACTATGAAAAGAAACATCCGGTAATGAAAACAACCAAATGTGGACAATTTGTAAAACCAAACAACAAAAACAATGTGAAGCCCAGAAGAATGTAAAAGTTATTTGTGTTTTAATTGAAGCTTCAACAATAATTGATGAGTTGACAGCTATTTAATTAATGGACGACTACTTGGATAACTGTAATTCTCTTAGTTTGACATTCCAGCGTCTTAAACGTGAATATTTCCTGTTTTCTTTCCTCCTCTGAGACAGTAAACTACATATCTTTAGGTTGTGGACAAAACAAGATATTTTTGCAACCACTAATGAACATTTTTCACCATTTTCTGACATGTTATAAACCAAACAGCAAATCGATTCATTCAGAAAACAACAACAATGAAAATAAAAGTAAGTTGCAGCCTGAGTTTTAATGTGAAGGAGCTGCAACCCTCCCAAACCTCCAAACCGGGGTTATATTGAAAAATTTGCCAAAATGACACCATTTACCAGCCAAACACTGTAAAAACAAGAACAGTTGGACTTTTCAACTTTCCGACGGTCCCTGAACTACTCATCAGTGACATGTTGTCAGAAAACTCAATCTAAACTTCTAAACTTCTAAATGTCAAAAATCACAAAAAATAAACCGTTTGCCCTCAACAAATTCTGTAAAATACAAAAAATTCAGAGCTCTGTAGCACAACTGACAAGCTGTGACTGATACTCCTGCGACCAACAGTCACGCAGCAATAAATAAAATTAAAAGTAAATGAACCCGGCGTGACCGTACAGAGGAGCAGGTTGTTGGATGATACGTTCAGCGCGGTGAAACATCTCTCTGCAGCTTTTTATGATTCATGGCGTCGTAGCTGCACAGAATATGCGTCTGAGTTCTCTCTCCTGCTTCCCGGTTGCTTTATATCGTAATGAACAATGAGCAAACAGCGAGAAAATAAAAGCTACGTGGCCACAGACTGCTCAGAGTTTTAAGCGCACGTTTGAAATCTTGCAGCTAAAAGTTGAATTTGCTCCTTTTCTGTTTTTTTCTTCATGTCTCAGATTGTTGTGATCTTTTGTTTGATTTTACTTAAAGTCTCCTCAGACTTGTCCAGTTTATTCAGCCGGTTGTTCCTCCTGCGAGAACTGAGCTCGGAAAACTGTCAGACCTCATCAGGCTTGGACAACTTAGGTCGACCTCAGAGGCCAAGGAGAGGCGGAAAGTCGGCCGCTTTGTCTATTTTTAATTCCCGTCTTAAAGGAAATTTAAAAATCGTAATGTGTGCAAACCTAATAGTGGAATTAATGACTGAGTGTCTTCACCATGTTGGATTTACAATTTGTACACTTTTATTCATTCATTCTGGGGTTTTTTTTGGTTATGTATTCAGAGGAAATGTCTGAAAACTGAATGCGAGCTTCCTCTTGCAGGTATTTTATAGCTTTAAAGATTGGGAATCGAGAGTCTGCCGAAGGTCTGAGTTGATTTTCATCACTGAGCAGCGAACAGGCAGCGAGCTGACCCGCAGTCTGCAGCCCCGACTGAAAACTGGGCTGGATTAGCTCTGAAATTAGACGAGTGTTAATCTGCTGAATGAGCTCAATCTATCAGCCGACAGGAAGCCGCTGGAAGTGGGACGAGTGACTCCGACCCAATTAGTTGAGAAATCAAAGCGTCCTGAGTGACGACTTCAGAGAGACGAGGCTGCTGTGGAGCCTCGAGAAAGGTCAAACAACGATCTGAGCTCACGATTCAGCGTTGAAAAGACTCCTACACTTTGTCTGACCTGCAGAAACACATTTATTTGCTGTGTGTCAGTGTTGGGTTTTCATCTGGAAAAGGCTTTGCCTCATTCAGCCACCGTCCTGATGAAGGCCTAGCACCAGAACGTCACAAATAAATGGACTTTACAAGTCAGACAGTGTGCAGGAAGGTCTCTGTCTCCTCTTCCACACGTGAAATCGACGGGCAACGTTGGTCAAAACATTAAAAAGAAAACGGAAAGACGAAAAAATCAATTGGAAATCAAAATGAGGAGTTGATTCTGTGAAAAGGCAAAATGTGAATGTAAAGATTGATAAAGTCTTGCTGGAAAAGGAAAACCTTCTAAACTCTGCAGCTGCAGGTGATACAGAAACAGAGCAACGACAAAAAAATCTGACTGTTGCCGTCGAATTGCTGCACGACTCGACTCACACATTTCTACTTTACACACAGCGTTTAGGCTGCTGTTGAGCAAAATACAGAAGAATTAAAAAAAAAAAAAATCAGACCTTGTTTGTTGCCGTAGTTTGTGTGTCGAACTTTAAGGCTTTAAATCCTGAAATGCCAAATATTTACAGGCTACTTATTTAACATAAGATGACCAAAATGACATCATTTATCTGAGAATGAAACTGTAAAAATACAAAACAATAGTCAGATTTAAAATTTGTCAACAGTCCCAATCATACACAACATGCCATCGGTAAGTTTAA